ATAAATATATATTACATTTGAAAGCCAGGAGAATCTTGGTAAATTTGGGGATGTGGGCAGGGACATGTAAACAACTTTTTTTCTGTGATTTCATCATTTTGCCATACCCGCCTAGAATTCTTAGGACTCCTTTACCCTGGTAAGATTTTTCAAACTTCCTAGGTATCTTTCAAATTGATCTTCTGTGTGCCTTTGGTGGGCTCACTGGGCTGTCCAGAAATTGCTAATACCCATGATCAGTTTACATATGAAGATGCAGGGACACAAACAAGGATGTTGCCTTTTGGGGCCAGTGGGAGGTTTGCATTAGAATCATAGGGAGGCAGGCCTGCTTTGGGCTTCACTTTTCATCCTTGTACTCTCACCCCTTATCCTTCCTATAGCAAGTGGAAGGAACTTGTCTTTAGATATCAGACCAGGAAAGAATGCTGTTGAAGACATACACTCACAAAGATTGGGATCGAGGACCAGAATTCTCCAAAGGGGTAGGAACAAACTTACTGCATGCATCTGGGGTCAGGGGTGAGGGTACAGGATGCAGGACAGGGAAATAGGCAACTGAGCCACATTGGGAAGAGGGACACTTACTTTTTTGTCAGGGGGGTGGGAGCAGAGGGGTGGACATCACTTTCTGGGAGAACTGACACTTGAGCAAGACCTTGAAACAGAGACAGGTGAGTGTGTGGAATTCACAGGCATGGCATTGCCAAAGAGGGAAGCCACAAGAGCACAGGGCATCCCAGAGAGCAGAGTGATCGGGACGTGACTGGCAGGTGATGCCATGTGCTCCTACTCGCTTGTAGGAAGATTGCAGGTGCTCCTTGACCTGCATCTCAACAAACCATTGTAAGCCAAATATACCGAAGTCCCAACGTATGCTTGAGTGTGCTTTATGGTCCAAGTCACTGGGGAATGTCAGTGGTTTGTGATTGTGAGCATGCAGCTTAAACTGGCCTTAAACTCTGTATGTAGTGAAGGAAATCCCTGAACCTCTGATCCTCCTGCTGGGATTACACGTGTGCACCACCACACCTGGCTCTTCAAAGACAGTTTCTTCTGAAGGCACATGGCTTTCACATCATCATAAAGTTATAAACCACAAGTCAGAGACTCTCTGTACTATGAGGTCCGAAGGGGGAGTAAACGGAAGTGAAAACCTGAAATGATGTCAAGACCAAAATGACATCCTGGTTACAACAGGGGCCTTTTCTTCTTCCGGCAGTTGTTTGACTTGTAAGCAGTTGATCAGAGATGTAGTATGTTTGTATTTTCCAGCATAAAGTGGAAGGATTAACTGGAAGTGCTCGAAGCCCTCCCTGGGTGTCGAGTGTGGTGCCATCTTTGGGTTTAGAATCACAGGCCCGCCGGGCTGTTGAATCGCCTCTCCGTTTGAGGATAATGGGGTAAGGTTTGGTTTGGATTACACCAGGCAGGGGCTCTTCACATAATTGGTCATTTCATCCATTCACAGTGTTTATTCTGAATGCCGTTTAGGCTGCGAGAGATGATTTCAGTATTCCAGCAGTTTCCGTGGACTAGAGAGCCCTTCAGTTCCTGTACAATAGAAACCAAGCAGAGCCTTACAAGGGGACAAGCCTGTTGTCTAGCAGGGGACCCGGGGTACATTTAACACAAGTGTGGCTTATTCAGAGCCTTGCAGGAGTGGCCAGCTGACAGGTGTCTCTAATAGACCCTGTGTCTGTGTTTCTGTGATAGGCCTCTATGGGTTTGGATTTAAAATAAAAAAAGTAGCTTAATGATGTCTCATTTTCTTAAAGAAAGGAGTAAAAGTCTTTTAAAGATTTTTTTTTTACCTTTTCCAAACTTCCTTCTCCCCAACCACTGCAAACTTAGATTTAGATTATTTCATTTAAATGTCATCCTGGCTTGAATTATTTTCCTGAGTCTTTGGTCCATTATTAAAGACATCTCTCACCCTGGTCTGCCCCTTCATCTGGTCTCTGATGGTTTCACCCCAAGAGGATGGAAAATACCTCTCCTTCACTTCTTGTTCTGCTTCAAGCTGCCACAAGCTGTGCCTGTTCTCTGTTGTTACTTCTCCTCTGTCCCAGCAGGCCCCTGACCTTCCTGGAAGTTTGTTCAGAGGCAAGCTAATACCTTCACAATTCTTCCCAACTGATCTGATCACTCAGGGCATTATCTCCCGGGCCCCACCCCTATTACCCCAACTGTAGTCCTTTCCATTTCTGTGTGTCATGCTAGAGCTGCTGGGGAGGGGAGCAGGGCAAGGCCTGCCTGTCATCCACCCAGCCCATTTTGTGGTCAGACCCAGGGAAGTCTGTCTTTTCTAAGAAGCTAGCTGCTAGGCCAGGCATGGTAGCATACACCTTTAATCCCAGCACTTGGGAGGCAGAGGCAGGTGGATCTCTGTTCGTTCAAGGCCAGCCTGGTCTACATAGTGAGTTCCAGGCCAGCTAGGGCTGCAGAGAGGCCCTGTCTCAAAAAGATTTAAAAAAAAAAAAACAAAAAAAAACCTAGCTGCTGTCAGCACTGACCAAAACAGTTTTCCAAACTTTCCCAATCAACAGTAAAACAGCTGCCTCTGGCCTTCCCTACCTTCTTTTCTCTGTCAGTCTAGCATTGGGCCACTCATTATTACCAAATCTGTGTTCCTAGCATGCAGTGGTAGAATCAAAATCAGTTCTATCACACATGCAGTGGATTTTCTTCCCATTCACTGCTGACAGCCCAC